TAGTTTCTGAGTCACCAATTTTTTTTATGATTTATTATTTCCTTTTTTTTTTTTAGTAAAAAATTAGCTACGTCATTGTTCGAAGTTTTTTTTTTTTATGGTTTCGACTTCTTTGGTTGTCGAACCTGTATCCAACATTTTCGAACGCTGGTTTGTTTGTGTGTTTTTTTTTTTACTAACCTACTAACTCAAAGCCGCAGCATACATTAGGTAGTTTTTGAACAAAAGGTTAACACTCGTAATGCTCGAGTATTACCTTATAAGATAAAAATCCTCAGTCTACAAGGATGTTGTAAGGCTGCCAATCGCCCAGAACCACTCTAACCATTCTCACGACCAGCATCCGCATATGAATTTGAGGGAACCTGGTTCCTTGGTGAGATCGGTGTAAGGCTGTCCTCGTGTTAGCGCAAAAATATAATTTCTAGAAGGTTCAATAATTAGAAGAAGGGTCTCTTATATGAGGTAGATTGATTGATTTATCGGTTATGACAACTTAGTAAGTAATTTCTTCTATGAGTCCCTTATGTATTTCATAGTTAGGTTACGGGTTGGGATCTTTTCATCATTTTCGGTATTGTGCTCAGTTGTTATATTCTTTTTAGAGTTCCGGTCTGACTGGGTGAATCCCTGATAGATATCAATTTTTTTTATTCCATGGATGCTTCTGTCTGTGGTCTGAGTTAAGGGGAGAGATATTTGGTCGATAGGGAAGCACAGTTTGTTTTTCATAATCTCACTGAAATGACATGTTTTTCCCTAGTCAAACCAAAAAGAACTGAAATGACCTTTGTTCGTCAAAGGGCCCTCGAGGGTTAGATATCTCGCGAAAAACTAACTACCAGAAGTTGTGAAAATACTGGGGTGTTTTAAATTAGTTCAACCTTGCGGTTCGTCCACTCTAACATGAAACAATCCATTTTATAGAGTTTTCGTGATAAAAAATAAACCTCTGGGTTCACATTGGGGTTTTTCATTTTGTTGTTTTTGAAAGATCGAGGTGTAGTGCGAGCAAAAATGTATAACAACATCGTGTAATTTTTTTCACGCAGGTGTGTTTATTACAGGGTTTCTATGCATAGAAAAATGAAACTCCTCTTCATCGAAGATTTGGCACACCTCAACAATTGTATTTGTTTTTTTAATTTTTAATGGTCTTTCGACCTGGAAAAATTGAACTTCGAATAATGACGTAGCTAATTTTTTACTAAAAAAAAAAAAGGAAATAATAAATCATAAAAAAAATTGGTGACTCAGAAACTA